ATGTAGACTATCAGGATCTCGCATGAAAACCGAGAGCATTTCCTTAATAGGTCCTAAACTTCAATTTTTTGTCTCCCTAGCACCATGAGACTGCTGAAAGATTCCTCTATTATATTCTTTATTTCCTTCTGTATTCTTTTCTTCCTAGTACTCACCACTCTTTTTACTGCATATTTTTGTGATTCTTTGACTGTTATCTACCTCCCTCAATAAACTCCATGACAGTATGTACTTAATCCATTTCACTTGCCTTTGTACCCTTAGTTACTAACACTGTCTGCTGCTTGTTAAATGAATGAATAAACGAACGAGTAACTGGGGCATTAAATTTTAATAATATTCTAAGAAAACATTAATACAACCAGAATGTTAACAATTAGCTACTTTATCCAGTGCCTTTCATACTCAAGCAGTTTCTTTTCTCAGCACCTTAGAAAATGCTGTTTTCTCTGTTTGAATCACCTTCTTCAGTCTTTTCTGCGAGGATTGCTTGTCTTTGAGTCTCAGCTTAAATGCCACCTCTTCAGAGAAACTTTTTCTAACTCCACATCTGAACCCATGCTATAACCACTCATAACAGCCATTACTTTGATTTATGATACCTGCCACAGATGTATTTCAACAGTTATATGGTCAACGTACATTTCCCCTACTACCAAGCAATATCTCTGCACTGTCAACTTCTGAATCACTAGGTACTTAGTGGCTAACACGTAGTAAATGCTCAACAAATATTTGTTCAATAAAGCACAGAGGAAGAGCAAGACTAAGAAATAGATAAACTGCAGTTGCTGAGTGACTGACATGTAAGGAAACGATGAAAGGGAGAAAGTGAAAGGGGTATTCTTAAAATAAAATAAAAGCATAAAGCACAAATATACACATATCCCTGACCATCTTTTTCTTTTTGGTTCTCTAACATGATCTCCCCAGGAGCCCATTTCCGTTAGCCATTTATGAGATGATTCTCAAGTCTTTGTCAGTTTGCTGTCAATTGATTCATTAATAATATTTAAAGAATTTCTGTCATATATACAATAAAGCAAAAATCCCTTAATGAACAAAATCACCCAGTGAGAATCTCAGCTCAAATTACTCTTAGACAATCTCCTCTGCCCTATCAGGTATGCCAGATCTCCCCACACATGACAAACAGGTGCAAACCATCATCACTAAGGATTCCCCCCACTCCACAAGCCCAGAATCCCAATATAAGTGGTTAAAGGTTGATTCACCCTGAGTTAGTTCAGAAAGGCAAATTATGTGCCCCATCCTAAAGAATTAGGAAGGTTAAGTACCACAGGAAATGTGCCCTATTGTAATGAGGTGGTTTCAGCAAGGTTTAGAGAATAAAAAATACTCTATTTTTGTTATGGCACATGTAATGAGGTATTGAAATACATTATAAGTAGACACCATGAAGTAGCCCTGGGCTTTATTTCAGTGATGCGTGGCTTAATTTGTAGTCTTTGGATTTTTCTACAAAGTTTGGGAACTCTAATAATTAGCCTGGTATTGTAGAAAAGTAGCTGACATCTTTTATAGACTTCTACCCTGCTAGAAACTGTGGACTTTCAAGCATCTGTGTCACAAAGTGAGTCCTTAAATTTAGAAATTTTTTTATAAAATTAGTATATATATTAGTGTAAAGTATGTGTTGTTGTTGTTGTTATGTACCATGGAGTCGGACCCGACTCATAGTGACCCCTCCTTGGGTTTCCAAGGCAGTATCACTACGGAAGTAGATTGCCCAACCTTCCTTCCAAAGTATATAGTATAGTATATAGTATATAGTATGTTAACTTTTAATATCATATGCAAGTAAAATTTTGCTGAAGATAATTCAAAAACAATTGCAGCAGTACATCAACAGGGAACTGCCAGAAATTCAAGCCAGATTCAGAAGAGAGTGTAGAACGAGGGATATCATTGCTGATGTCAGATGGATCTTGGCTGAAAGCACAGGATACCAGAAGGATGTTTACTTGTATTTTATTGAATATGCAAAGACATTTGACTGTGAGAATCATAACAAATTATGGATAACATTGCAAAGAATGGAAATTCCAGAACACTTAACTGTGCTTATGAGGAACCTGTGCATATTACCAAAAGGCAGTCATTCAAACAGAAAAAGGTGGTAATGCATAGTTTAAAATCAGGAAAGATGTGTGTCAGGGTTGTATCTTTCACAATACTTATTCAATCTGTATGCTGAACAAATAATTCAAGAAGTTGACTATATGAAGAAAAATGTGGTATCAGGACTAGAGGAAGACTCATTAACAATCTTCGATATGCAGATGACAAAACCTTGCTTGCTGAAAGTGACAAAGACTTAAAGCACTTACTGATGAAGATCAACAACTACAGCCTTCAGTATGGACTATACCTCAACATAAAAAAAAAAAAAAAAAAAAAAAAAAAACCTCAAACCAAATTCACTGCCGTCGAGTAGATTCAACTCACAGCAACCCTTCCTTGGGTTTCTGAGACAGTATCACTATGGAAGTAGATTGCCCAATCTTCCTTCCCAGGAGTGGCTGGTGGGGTTTGAACTGCTAGCCTTCTGATTAGCAGTCAAATGCCTTAGGCACTACGCCACCAGACCTCCCAATCTTTATAGAAATAGATTGTCCAATCTTGCTTCTGTGGAGTGGCTGGTGGGTTTGAACCACCAACCTTCTGGTTAACAGTCAGACACCTTTAGGCACTGTGCTACCAGAGCATTAATCTTCACAACTGGACCAATAAGCAACATCACAATAAATGGAGAAAAGATTAAAGTTGTCAATGATTTCATTTTACTTGGATCCACAATCAATGTGTATGGAAGTAGCAGACAAATCAAACCATGTATTGTATTGGGCAAATATGCTGCAAAAGACTCTTTAAAGTGTTAAAGAGCTAAGATGGGACCTTGAAGATTAGGGGCCACCTCACCTATGTCATGGTATTTTCAATTGCCTCATATGTATCTAAGAGCTGGACGATAAATAAGGAAGACCACAGAACAATCAACACATTTGAATTCTGGTGTTAATGAAAAATATTGAATGTACCACAGACTGCTAGAAGAACCAGGAAATCTATCTTGGAGGAAGTACAGCTGGAATGCTCCTTAGAAGCAAGAATGGTCAGACTTCATCTCTCATACTTTGGTCACGTTATCAGAAGGGACCAGTCTCTGAAGAAGAATATCATGCTAGGTAAAGTAGAAAGTTAGCAAAAAAGAGGAAAATCCTCAACTAGATGGATGAACACTAACTGCAACCATGTGCTCAAGCAAAGAAACAATCCAGAGGATGGTAGGGGAGTAGGCAGTGTTTCCTTCTGTTGTACATAGAGTCTCTATGAGTTGGAAGGGATTGGACTGCATCTAAAATAACTTTGATTATTGGCTATGGAGATTTAGAAAAGATGGTTTGTACTTCCCATAAGTAGCTCTGTGTGAATCAAACAGCTACCAACAAATTTATTTAAATGGATACCTCTACATTTGAATGACTAGATAAAACGACTTTCCATATAAAAGTAGAGGAGCTCTGGTAGCGTAGTGCCTAAGGCTCTTGACTGCTAACCAGAAGGCTGGAGGTTCAAACCCACCAGCCACTTGTTGGAAGGAAGGTTGGGCGATCTACTTCCGTAGTGATACCGCTATAAGTCAGGTTCGACTCACCAGCACGTAACAACAACAGCAACAACATATAAAAGAAGGGTAATCAGAAAGCTCAAATGACCAACATATGTTCAAATCACACACACACACACAGTTTCCCACAAAACATTTAACTAAAATGGATACTTTTCTCCTTTGTCTTCTTGGTACAAAGTCTGGAATATTGGACATACTGTACCCTGCCATGAGAAATCACATGTTACATCTTGACTAGGTTTTATGATAAGACAAGATTTCGAGAATTTATCTGGGAGTTTAAGTATGGAAGCCAGAAAAATAATAAACCATAAGACAAGGTGATAAAGGTAGAAGGGAAAAAACATTCCTCTGTGGTCACTCAAGGTAACGAGTTTTCCAAATTATAAATACCTATCTTGCTGTTTTCGCGGGGTTTGTACTCCTACCTCCAGACTAGGAACCAACCAGCTGCCAGGTGCAACTTCCCAGCCCAACACTCTGCATAACAGCCCAGATCAGGGTCTTAACGTCCCTCCCACAGGCTCAGGGGAAAGTAGATCTTGAAGCTCTGACTCGTAGCGCATTCCCTTTTCGTTAACCAAAGAAACAAACAAACAAAAGACTCACTGTCTTCAAGTCGATTTCAACTCATAGCGACCCCTTCTTGGGTCCCAGGTATCTCAACGGAAGTAGATTGCCCAGTCTGGTAGCATAGTGCCCAAGGCACTTACTTGACAGCTAACCAGAAGCCTGGCGGTTCAAACCCACCAGCCACTCCTGGGAAGGAAGACTGGACAATCTACTTCCATAGTGATACTGCCTCGGCAACCCAAGGAGGGCTCGCTATGAGTCCGGGCCGACTCAATGACACATAACAACAACAAATGCTCAAAAGGTGCGCAACCTGGCAGTGGATCTCCTGGCCAAAAGGTGGTGCTGTTCTGCTCTAGGCCGCGCTGGCGGCCCTCTTGACTGCACCTTCTCCTCCTCGGCTCCAGAGGGCGTGCGTGAGGCATCTGGCTAGAAAGAACACACTGGAACACTCTGAAGGGGAGGAGCCAGGTGGAGAAGGGAGGCCGACCGAGGGGGTGGGGCTGAAGATAGAGGCGGAGCTAAGACTAGGGGCGAAGCCAGGCTGAGTTGTGGAACCCGACCGGAATGCGGGGCGGAGCCAAGCTTTCGGCTAGGGTCAGGCAGAGGGGCGGGACAGTTTGTAGCCGGTCGGCGATAGAACAAGCGCCGCGCGGGAGAAAGCGCTAGGTGGGAGTTTTCCCGGACTCGCACGAGTCAGCTGTGCCGGACCGTTACCCGCCAGGAGCTCGGAGCGAGCGGGACGGCAAGAAAACAAGTGCGTCCGAGCACCATGATCCCTCTAGAGAAGCCGGGCGCCGACGACTCTCCCCCTGTCGCCGCCTCAGGCCCGGCCCTCCGGGGTTCGAGCGTGTTGCGCCGGTCGCCGCCCCAGGCCCGCGGGCTGCTAATGGAGATCAGCGCTACCGTGCGCACAGAGCCCTTTCAGGACGCCTACAGCCTAAGCCCTGGCCGGGAGTTGGGCAGGTGAGCGCAGGTGGGACGGGCCGGGGCCCGACTTAAGCTTCCCTCTGGCGAGGCGGGCGGGGTGGGGATGTGAGGCCGATAAGTGCTGGGGCCGTCCGCGTTGCTGGGGCCGATAACAGGCGCAGTGACTTGTCACATACTTGGTGCTGGAGGCGATTATGGCAGCTGCGTCTCATCTGCTTTCACCCTGCCGGCCAGGACTAGCCCATAGTGTCGGCCGGGCGTTCCGAGAAGGCTGCTGTTTAAATAGCATCAGTGAGAAAGTGTCCCCAACGGATAAACCAAGAGGAGGGACTCGTTTCATCGGGTAACCAGAAACCTTGACACCTTTCTCTGCTCTCGCTCATTTGGTAATTTAACGAAAATTGCACCTGGAGTGTGAACCACGCTTTTATCTTACTCTGGAGTAGCAAATCTGAAAGGAAGCTAGAGTCAGCTTTTGTTTTGCCTTAAGCTCTTCTGGATTTCTCCTTCTCTTTGTGGCTTTAATAAAACATAACACCAGTGGTGACAACTTCCTTTGCACTAGAAGTGTGTTAACTTGTATTAGCTGTTTTCTGCTTTTCTCATCATTTTAGTTTTGTTCTTTTAGTACTGTTCTAAAATATTTAGGCCCCTGTGCCTCAAGAGTGGCTTCATTCATAGGCTCTTGACCCTTTTCGCACTGTGTATGTGGACTCTGCTGAGAGCCAGCTCTTGCCTTCTCCTCCCACCTCCACCCCTGTTCTGTAGGGCTAAAAGGAGCTGACAACTTGGCCTCTGTTTGAAGTTGGAAAAGGCTGTTTGGATACTTTACGTCTTGGATGTTGAAGAGGGGTGACCGGGTGATTTTTAGGGAGTTTTGGGGCTCCCCTTCCTCCCTGAGAACAGTTTGGGGAAGTTGTCAGAAGTCCTAGTTTTGGAGTCACATCTGACCTCATATCTCTGATGTGCCTTTTGAGCGGGAGGCTTAGACCCTCCAACCTCACTTTTCTACTCTGTAAATTCCCTGTAATGGCAGTACTTACCCCCGGAGTGTTGTGAAGCTTGCATGCCTATAAAGGGCACACCACTGACCCTTGCAGGTGGTGTTCAAGAAATTTTACCGATTATTGCAAACATTTGTCATGGTTGCAAAATAGCACCATGTTGTAATGAGGAATGGGTCTGACAGTTATGACAGCCTTCAGCTTGGGTCTTGGAAAAGCCATTGGTTAAAAGTAATGGTCAAAACATGGCTGCTTTACAAATTTTAAGGAAACTTTTTATTAAAAAAAAAAAAAATTAGAGGAAACTTACCTTAAAATGTCAAACATACTCCAAAAATATTAGCAAAAGCAACAACATCTTTCAAGAACAAGATTTCCTTCAATAAGTTAGGCACGAATTGATGCATTCTGTGCACACCTTTTGAAGTTGAAAAAAAAAAAAAAACAGGTGAGGTGGGCTACTGGCTCAGCTAGATATTCTTATTTGTCTAGATTCCAGACATTCTGAAGTAACTGTGATTACTTGAAAAAGGAAAGCTAAACCTTCCGTTATTGGTTGAGTTGTCTAGCCTCATTCCAAAAAAAGGAAAACTGGAAATACAAAACTTAAATGTCTTCAGGTGGCAAGCACCATCTTGTAGACTTTATAACAAATAATTTAATCTAATACACTGATTTGTACCCTACCAGGTATTGTGGTACTAATTCCTCCAGGAATGTTACTTTTGACTTTTGTTTTAAGCTCTGTTACAGAATTAGTTTGTTTATAAGGGTTTTGTTTTTTTCAGGTGTGATGTTTTCTATATACTTTTTACTACACAAATTCCTTTACAAAAGGAATAAATCCTGAAGCACTGAACCAATAGAAATGAGATAGGTACTTGATATAAGAGCCTAAAACTGTGAAAAATAAAATTAATGTATGTTTTTCTCTTGGTTCCTTCTTTCATCTTGGAGGAGGTTAATGCAGTGTGGTTAAGATCATGGCTTTTGGAGTCAGAGAGTCTGGGATTAAGTCTTGGCTCTTACTAGTTATGTGGATTTGGACATTACCTAACCACATTTTTGCCTTACATGCCTCATAGAATTGTTGAGAGAATTAAATAACATACCTCTATAGCCTTACAGTTGTGCTTGGCACAGAAGAAGCACTCAATAAATGTAATTCATTGTGTAACTCAATAAATGTTATTTTACATGTAACCAGAAAGCACAAATAGACAACTTCAAAAAACAAGCAAGAACTGTTTAGAAATCTTAGGAAGTAAAAGCTCTGTTATGTGTTATAAGTAGTCCTTGTTTAAGAATTACAAATTTTGCCAGTTTATTATGGTTTTGACATAATTCAGTGTATGTATGCTCAGTCCTTTCTCTGGTAAGATAGGAAAGTTGCCTGTTTTTACAGCTATTAACTCTAGTTGCATTTCTAATATTACTAATTGGTCTCATACTAATACAGAACTTACAGAATTACTTGTGTTATATTTTAATGTTGTGGGAGGAAACACAAGATCTATTCATTTTCTATGGTCTTTCATTTAGTAAAATGTAGAAGAGTACAGAGTTAACTGTTTAAACCCCGAAATTGATTTATTTCATGAGTTACCATTATTTTATCTTAACAGAAACATAAAGCATTCACTGAGATGGGTGTTCTAAGAGAATTTCCTAAATGGTCAATATTGATTCCAGAGTAATGACAGGATGTGATGATCATTTAAAGAAAAGTCAGACTCTTTAATTTCTCCAGTAGAGGCCATAGCAACCTAAATGTGGGTAAATATATGATGTAAAACTTTCTTTTATTGCTTAAAGCTTCCCTTGTTATTTCTAAGGCTTGTTACCTTTCTTTGAGTCAGGATGTATGCCAATGTAAACTGCATTAATGATTGCAGTACTGAGGCACAGAAGAAATGACCTTGGGTTCTGAGAATTTTTTCAGAATGTTGCTTTCCCTTGTGTTTATTGATAGGTTAGGAACAGAAAGATGTTTTTAGAAACTTAAAATTACACTAATTTCACATTAGATGATTTGCCTTACATGCATTTTATTATCTAGTCCTCAACTTTAACGTTTTTTGACATATTCATAATAGTATCATGAGAAAAAATGATTTTTTTCACTTTTTAAAATACATTTTTTATTGTGGTAACAATAAAGATAATATTTCTTATTTCAGCAATCTTCATATGTACAGTTCAGCATAAAATATATATATATTTAAGCCATAAGAACATACTTTGCAATAGTTTCTATGTTATGACATACTCAGTTTAATTTTCCATTGAGGGGAAAATAACATATAAATATGAGTTTCCTGCTGGAATGTTGTTGTTGTTGTTACGTGCTGTCGTGTCGGACCCAACTCATAGCGACCCCTCCTTGGGTTTCTGAGGCAGTATCACTACAGAAGCAGATTACCCCATCTTCCTTCCGAGGAGTGGCTGGTGGATTTGAACCACCAGCCTTCTGGTTAGCAGTCAAGTGCCTTAGACACTATGCCACCAGAGATAGGTACCTATAATTGTATAGGGCTTTACAGTTTTACAGGTGCTTTCACATGTGTTATCTCATTTAATTCTCACTATAAACCTGTTTAGGAGTTCTGGTGGCATAGTGCCTAAGGCATTTGACTGCTAACCAGAAGGCTGGCAGTTCAAGCCCACTACTTCTGTAGTGATACTGCCTTGGAAACCCAAGGAGGGGTCGCTATGAGTAGGCTCCGACTCCATGATAGTGAGTTTGGTTTGGTTTGGTATAAGCCTGTTTAGGGAGCTCTGGTGGCATAGTGCCTAAGGCATTTGACTGCCAACCAGAAGGCTAGTGGTTCAAACCCACAAGTCACTCCTTGGAAGGAAGATTAGGCAATCTACTTCCATAGTGATACTGCCTCAGAAACCGAAGGAGGAGGGGTCGCTATGAGTTGGATCTGACTCAATGGCAGTGGGTTTATAAGCCTGTTTGGAAAGCCCCATTTTTCAGAGAAAAATAAGAAAAGCCAAAACCAAGAAATTGAGTCTCTTGTGAGAGATGGCTGAGCTGGGACCTCTGACTTTGAGATTACTCCCATTATATCATGAAATTTCTCAACGAATAATCTATGTAGGTAAAGCAACTTCCCATTATTTTATGAGAGGATTTGTTATTGAGTTCCAAATTGGAACAAATCCCACCAAGCTTCAGTGTCATATGGTACAGAGAGATGTCCTCTCTCCTCTCCTCTGAGCAGCAGAGACAAGAAAGGATTTTTATCAGAGAATAATAGAAATTTCAAGCTGAAAGAGACTTATTTCAGTAACTGTGTGTCCTTTACCTAAATTGATGACTGTAGGTAATGGCTTCAGGTTTTGTACCTTATAATGCCTTAAGCATATATCATAAATTATAAGTTATAATTCTTTAGAAATAAAGATCATTGTTAAATAATATTATTATTCATGTAGAAACTGCCTTGTTTTGGACAAAGATTATTTAAGACTTCTTGGCAGCTAATTATTAATTTGAAGAATTACATTTACAAGCAATTCTGGATAACCTGATATTTTTGGATGGATAAAAGGAAATTGCCCTTGTTTGTGATTTAGCAGTAGAAGTTGCATAGGAAGTATAACTTCTGCTCTAAGGCAGTTACTTCATTGTTTTAATTTTGAAAGTTGGAGTTTATAATGTTAAAATTGTTGTTGTTGTTGTTGTTATGTGCCATCGAGTCGGCCCCGACTCATAGCGACCCCTCCTTGGGTTTCCAAGGCAGTATCACTACGGAAGTAGATTGCCCCATCTTCCTTCCGAGGAGTGGCTGGTGGATTTGAACCGCCAGCCTCTGGTTAGCAGTCAAGTGCCTTAGCCACTATGCTACCAGAGCTCCTAATGTTAAAATTAAAATTCAAAATATGTAAATTTAAGAATTTAACAAATTTTAGGCTTGTTGCAAAACTATAAATAAAAAATTATAAAATCTGATTATCATACCAAATGCATTAGAAAAATTAAGAGCTAGGGTCATTGATTCACCAATTCAGGTAATAAGGAAC